ATATCCTTCCCATGAAGTAGGGAGGGAAAGGAGATTTTACAGTAACCTTCCCCTGGAGTGGGAAGGGATGGAGATTTTACAGTATCCTTCCCATGGAGTGGGGAGGGAATCCCTGGAGTGGGGACGGAATGGAGATTTTACAATATCCTTCCCCTGGAGTGGGAAGGGATGGAGATTTTACAGTATCCTTCCCATGGAGTGGGGAGGGAATCCCTGGAGTGGGGAGGGAATGGAGATTTTACAATATCCTTCCCCTGGAGTGGGAAGGGATGGAGATTTTACAGTATCCTTCCCAGGGAGTGGGGAGGGAATGGAGATTTTACAATATCCTTCCCCTGGAGTGGGAAGGGATGGAGATTTTACAGTATCCTTCCCATGGAGTGGGGAGGGAATCCCTGGAGTGGGGAGGGAATGGAGATTTTACAATATCCTTCCCCTGGAGTGGGAAGGGATGGAGATTTTACAGTATCCTTCCCAGGGAGTGGGGAGGGAATGGAGATTTTACAGTATCCTTCCCATGGAGTGGGGAGGGAATGGAGATTTTACTGTATCCTTCCCCTGGAGTGGGGAGGGAATGGAGATTTTGCAGTAACCTTCCCCTGCAAAGCCCACCAAGCCACACCCACAGAACCTGTAGTAAAAAAAATTGAATCCCACCACTGATCTGGAGAGTTTCAGATTTGGAAAGGCTGAAATTCAGAATGGGGCACTTCTTGACTATTGTTGCCCTGACTTTTTGGAACGAACATGCTTCCCCCAACCTCCCAAGATCCAGAGGACCCTTTCTCTTGTCATCTTCAAAAAGACCCGTTCAGATCCGGCTTTTCTAAACAAGCTCTTTTGGAGGTTAACATCAGGCTTCGTGTATTCCACTTACATTGTTTATGTTCTGCCTTTTAATCCAAACTTTTTATTATATTTTTTACTCTTATTTTTTAGGAAGCTTAAGCATGTTTGGACGGATTGCGTGGTGTATATGAACTGATCAGGCTATTATAATTTGATGTAATGCCAGTTCTATAAACAAATGAGACAACACTTTTCAAAATGGTAGTGATATTATCTCTTGCTGGAAAAAAACAAAGAGTTTTCTGGCACCTGAAATGTTGGTTTTGAAGATGCCAGAGGAGTCTTCGTTTTTCTTCTAAGGATTAGGTGCATCGAATGCCTTCGGAGATATCTTTCGCTGCATGTTTAGCCTTTTATAAACGTGCGAAGCTTAGAAAAAACAAACATTCTCTTTTGGTGTTTCTTTTCCTTGTTCAACCTGAGCATTTCCCCCTTTATTATATCTCCTTTTAAAGGGTAGATCTTGGAATTATTTGTTTCATAGATTTTGGTTGTTGGAATTCAAGTCCAACCAGCCAGTTAAAGAATCCCAGATAGATAGTTGTCTACAGTATGGCCAAAATTGTGGAAACGGTTTGGGAAAAGGGTATTTTCTAAAACTAGCTAATAACACCACTTTTTTTTTAGTAGTACCATAAAATTATATATCAGTGGAAAGATAATTTAATCAAGAATGTAATGCAATACCTTTTATGAAGGATTTGCTATTAGAATAGCAGTTATAGTATAAAGAAGAAAAGTGAAACACATAGAAAAAACAAGATATGCAAAAATGATCCCCATGTCAGTTAATACTTAGTTGGGTAACTTTTAGCATGAATTACAGCCTTACAACATCTTCCCATGGAGTGAACCAAGTCTTTGAGTTCTGCAGCTGTTATCATGTGAAACCAAGATTGAATGATGGCTTCTATTAACTGGGTTTTATTGCTGGGTCGCTTCTGACTAACAAGTTTCTTTAGTCGGCTCCATAGATTTTCAATTGGGTGAAGGTCTGAGATATTCCCAGGCCATTCCAGCAGTGGAATAGGATTATCTTGAATCTCCCCCCAAAAAGTGGTGTTATTAGCCATCAAACCTTAAAAATACACTTTTCCCAAAAGGTTCCCACAATTTTGGCCACTACTGTAGCGTCTGGTTGCCCGACTAACAATAATTGAGATAACATCCCTGATTTAATTAATTTAATTTAATTAATTCAATTTATATGACGCCCCTCTCCGAAGACTCAGGGCGGCTATTTGTCAGTTTTTCCCATATAAAGTTGAGCCCATCCTCGTATAATTGTGCTGCTATAAAGCCTTGCTGTTAACAAGGGCCCATCTGGCAACATTTAGCCTAACTCTGCCCTCCACGCCTTCCTCCTCACTTGGGGCAGTGTGAGTCCTCCCCAAAATTTAATTACAGGAGAAAAGAGGAATGTGAGGGTTTCAGATTTGCACGAGTGACTTTGTGTATTTCTAGCAGTCTGAATCCTCTAACACAGGGGTCTCCAACCTTGGCAATTTTAAGCCTGGCTTAAATTCCTCTGCCAGCTGACTTCAACTCCCAGAATTCCCCCACCAGCGGGGGGAATTCTGGGAGTTGAAGTCCACCAGGCTTAAAATTGCCAAGGTTGGAGACCCATGCTCTAACACCACACAAGGAACATTTCCAGGTCTGATAAAAGTACATTGTGAAAGAGGCTATAATTGCATTGCTGGTCCCTGTCCCATTCTGGTCCTACTCCCTGTAGTAACCTGACTCGCCTCCAAGAATATGCTTCCATTAGTAGGCTTAGCTTACACCCTTCTTCAGGTTGCCAAAGTTGGACACCCCTCGCTCTACAGCCTTGCCCTCGTCTCCTCCTTCTTGCAGTTGGATTCTTTCTCGCTCACCACCCCCTCCATAATTTAATTCTCCTTAATGAATTCCAGCTCTCAGCTACATCAAAGGGCATTCTTGTTGAGAGAATATAAAAGGAACCCCCACTCCCTGCTCCCAATTTTAGTGTCTGGGGTTGGGGGGAGGGTGGAGAGGTATCCCAAACCTCCCCTTGTTTCTGGGGCCGGAGTCCGCATCTCTTCTGATGTAAGGTAATTGGGAGTGGCAGAAACCTTCTTTTAATCCATGGTTAAGAAGCCGGTCTCTGTTGGCATCTTGGCCGGAGCGAAGAGCTATTAGGGAAGCTCTTAATTGTGCCATCTGGGCTTCATTTAAAGGCCTTGGAGTGAACACCCTGTGGGAGAGGCAAACTGTCTTGGTTAAGAAAGGATTATTTTATTTACGGCGGGGTGTCGGTGCGAGATGAAAGAATACTTAAGGGGGTTCCTTCCATGTGGCAAGTTTCCCTCCCTTCCAGAAACTGAAGCTGGATTGAGACACGGCTGAGAAGATTCCAAACCATTTTGGATCTTTGGCAACGATGTTGGCCAAGTTCCTTCTGCTTTTGTCGCCTCTTTATTTGTGCCAAGAAAGAAAGCACCGATTATTATTTTTCCCTTCCCAATAGAACGAGACTATATTTGTAACTCTGGCTTGAACTGTTGAGGTCCTTGGTGCTCTCTGAGCTTTTCTTGTTTTCTTACAGATATTTCATTTCCAAACTAGGCAATGAAAGTTGGGTTGTTGTTGGGTAATGAGAGGCCTGCAAGAAAACAAACCAAATTCGGAGAGATCGAGTCTGGGTTGGTCACCGGAATGAGAGATTTTCTCTTCTGAGGTTTCGGATTTGTACCGAAGCCCATATTCCCTCTACTGGAATATGTGCTTTGGGCCAGGGGTCTCCAACCTTGGCAACTTTAAGACTTGTGGACTTCAACTCCCAGAGTTGAACGTTAAGACTTGAACTTTAAGACTTGTGGACTTCAACTCCCAGAGTTGAACGTTAAGACTTGAACTTTAAGACTTGTGGACTTCAACTCCCAGAGTTGAACTTTTAAGACTTGTGGACTTCAACTCCCAGAGTTGAACTTTAAGACTTGTGGATTTCAACTCCCAGAGCCAGCTTCGCTGATTGAGGAACTCTGGGAGTTGAAGTCCACAAGTCTTAAAGTTGCCAAGGTTGGAGACTCCTGCTTTGGGCTATTTGATGGTGCGTTCCTATTGGTTGATTGGCGTGTTGATTGGCTGGCCATTGGCTGTTGTTTCCTTGGGCTGCCAAGACCTCGGCTCCCAAGTACTTGATAAAGTGGCGGTAAATCAACACTCCTGTTGACTGAAAAGGGGCCTGATGATCCTTAGCTCAGAAGAATAAACCGCTGGTCCCAGTGACCGACCCAGATTCAATCTTGCAACATTATCCTGAGACACGTATGTTTGCCTTCATTCATGAAGCTCAGAGAGCACCAAGGACTTCACACTTTCTTGGTCTCGGAGGACACCTTGTTTCTAATCAGGGTCTGTTGCCTGAGTCCCTCCCTTGACAATGTACTCGTTGGGCCTGATACCTTCTCACCCCTCATAGTTACCACGTTGTTGTTGTTGTTGTTGTTGTTGTTGTTGTTCTTCTTCTTCTTCTTCTACTACTACTACTACTTCTACTACTACTACTACTACTACTACTACTACTACTACTACTTCTACTACTACTTTTCCTCCTCCTCCTTCCTCCTTCTTTCTTCTTTCTTCTTCCTTCTTTCTTCTTCTTCTACTACTACTACTTTTCCTTCTCCTCCTCCTCCCTCCTCCCTCCTCCTTCCTTCTTCCTCCTCCTCCTCCTCCTCCTTCTTTCTTCTTCTTCTTCTACTACTACTACTACTTCTACTACTACTACTTTTCTTTCTCCTCCTCCTCCTTCTTTCTTCTTTCTTCTTCCTTCTTCCTTCTTCTTCTTCTTCTTTTTCTTCTTCTTCTTCTTCTTCTTCTTCTTCTTCTTCTTCTTCTTCTTCTTCTTCTTCTTCTTCTTCTTCTACTACTACTACTACTACTACTACTACTTCTAGTACTACGACTACTTTTCCTTCTCCTCCTCCTCCTCCTTTCTTCTTTCTTCTTCCTTCTTTCTTCTTCCTTCTTCTCTTGAAGGGGAAATTGGCAGAACTCATCAATTTCAATATTTTTGTTAGAGGTTCCTTGTTTCACAAGTGTGTTTGGTGAACCTGTCAGTCAACTGATTGCTTAAGATACTTTTATTCTTAACTATCTGCCTTTGCCCTCTTGTCTTGTCAAAGGTCACAGCAGTTTTCTCCCAGCCAGACCAATGGCGAAAGTTCCCCAGAGATGTTGGCCATACGATTTCAGGTAAGAACTCCTTTCGTTCCAGCTTGCTAGATGGGGCTGACGAGAATCAATCCAAATTCATTAAGAGGGCCACAAATTACACTGCTTCTCACAACAGCTTTGTTTCACCTGGGTGTGGAGGAGGAGCAGTGGTGAAATCTAAAATCTGTTACTACCGGTTCTGTGGCCAAGGCTTGAGGGGGTAATGTGACTGGGTGGGGGTGGCCAATTTTTTTTTTATTTTACTTTTAAAAGCATTTTTTCTACAACCTCTTCGGCAAAGAGGTTGTAAAAAAATGCTTTCCAAAGGCTCTGACGATCCCAGCTATGTTGCCTAATCGGCAGAGGCTTTTTTTCTTTTAAATGCCTCTGCCGATCAGGCAACTCAGCTTGGATCGTCAGAGGCATTTAAAAGAAAAATAGGGTTTTTTTCTTTTAAATGCTTCTGACGATCCAAGCTGAGTTTTTTAAAAAGCCTCTGCCGATCAGGCAACTCAGCTTGGATCGTCAGAGGCATTTAAAAGAAAAAAAGGGTTTTTTTTTCTTTTAAATGCCTCTGACGATCCCAGCTGAGCCGCACGATCATCAGAGTCTTTTTTTTTTTTTTACTTTTAAAAGCATTTTTTCGGCTGAAGAGGTTGTAGAAAAAAATGCTTTTAAAAGTAAAAAAAAAGCCTCTGATGATTGTGCGGCTCAGCTGGGAATGGGGGTTTTTGCTGCTGGTTCTCCGAACCACCCGCCTCCATCGCTACCGGATCGGGTGATCTGGTTCGAACCAGGAGCATTTCACCCCTGAGGAGAAGCTATATGGGTACAACCAGTGACTTCCCTGGGTAGTAATCACATCTCTGGTCCTTCTGGTACCATGGCTTTTCTTCAAAAGTTGACAATATCTGGGAAGAAGCCAGTCAAGGCAGAACTGCTTTTATTGTTCGGTCAAGAAGAATGATCTTAGTCATCCAATTTTGGGATCCTATAAAAGAACAGCTAGTATTAATTTGTGCCACAATAGTTGATGTCTCTTTGATTTTCTGTATACAGCCTATTCTTCTGAACTTCTTTTTTTTTCTAAGTTATGTTTGCCTTCTCCAACAGGATGTGGTGAGAACTAGAGACAATGGTCAGAATTCAGTGAGATCTTCCTACTCAAGCCCAGCTTCCATCAGTCCACGGCCCACCAGCCCCTACAGTCCTTCATCTCCTGGGTATCGACCTGGCAGCCCATACAGCCCAGTGAGACCCAGTCTGCCCACAGAGATCAGAGGGGAGCCCGTGATAAACAGCCGCAGGTAGACAACACCTTTAGGAACGGAATCCGATCAAAAGTCTGTTTAGTCTGCCCATAGAAACGTCGAAAGAAAGACATGGAGAACAAAATCTTTGGCATTCAGCCCACCCGAAGCTAGCAGGGTGAAAAATACATCTTCTTAGATCAGGAGGAACCTGCATGTAATTAGGTTATCTCAGGGGTGAAATCCAAAATTTTTCTCTACCGGTTCTGTAGGCGTGGCTTGGTGGGTGTGGCAGGGGAAGGATATTGCAAAATCTCCATTCCCACCCCATCTAGGGCCAGCCAGAGGTGGCATTTGCCGGTTCTCCGAACTACTCAAAATTTCCGCTACCGGTTCTCCAGAACCTGTTAGAACTTGCTGGATTTCATCTCTGGGTTATCTGGCACCACACCACAATGAATCCCTTATGCTGAAGGTGCATTCATGAAGAATTGTAGTATAGTTTTGAGCTACTTGGACTAGAAATGAGGAGACACATCTTCAAATAGATGGTAGAGTTCACTAAGAGATATTGGGCCAGCCATATCTTCCATATCTAACCTATTTTACAGAATTGCTTGACCGAGAAAGAAAGATTACCATCCCTACATCTAAAAAAAGTCTCCTTCAATTTTCAGAAGAAAAAGCAGGATGTAAATGCAATAAATGAATATATTTGTTTAATTGGGGAATCCGTGTTAGTGGAGGACTTCCAGAAATAATAGTAAATGAAGTATACATAATACGATTAGAATTATTAGCATTCTATTATGTTTAAAGTATTGCTTAAAGTATTGAAAATAACGAGAACTATTTTTTTAAAAAAATCAATACTAATTGCCATTGAGAATTACAGGCATACAATTATTTAACTTTTCATCCAAAGTTGAGTATAAGATAAAGAAAAAAAGAAGCACTACAATTTGCATCGAAGTACATAACAGTTATAAGTTTCACTCTTGAACTCATTATTTAATGTTAAGATTTCTATTGTTATTTAATGTGTATACAGGCAGTCCTCAACTTACACTACACTGGGACTGGAATTCTGCCACAAGTTAGTGCAGTCCAGTGATGGGTTTCAACATTTTTTACTACGGGTTCTGTGGGTGTGGCTTGGTGGGTGTGGCAGGGGAAGGATACTTAAAATCTCCATTCCCACCCCACTTCAGGGGAAGGATACTGCAAAATCCCCATTTCCTCCCGATCAGCTGGGAGTCAGGAGGCAGAGAATAGATGGGGGCGGGGCCAGTCAGAATTTTTACTACTGGTTCTCCGAACTACTCAAAATTTCCGCTACCGGTTCTCCATAACTGGTCAGAACCTGCTGAAACCCACCTCTGGTGCAGTCATAAAGCGAGCCATCACGAGTTGGCAGAGGAACTCTTGAACTTGAAGTCCACACATCTTAAAATGACTAAAGTTGAGAACCACTGCCCTAAGCACATACTTCTTCCTGTTTCTTACCCATAATAAGCAAACCTGTTTACATGTTTCTGTGCTCTTTTTTTTTTTTTTAGCTTCCAATCAATGGGGACTTCACTTCAGAGTCAGCAGGAGTCAAGCAACAGACAGGTAAAAAAAGTGTGTGAGCTCAAACTCTTTTCGCGATTCTCTGGGACGATACATAAGCAGGGATGAAATGCTACCAGTTCGCTCCGAACCGGTAGTTTAAAAAAGCTGTATCGCGGGGTTTAGCTTTGCTAGAAAGCAGGAAATCCAGCTTTCTAGCGGAGCTAAATTTAGCGCTAAATCGCACGGCACATCTGATCAAGCTCGCGCTGTGCGCGCACTCATGCCCCCGCTGTTCTACTTACCTAGCCTCCTTTTGGTGTGTACTGCGCATGAGTGCGCGCACAGCGCGAGCTCGATGCGCATGCACTGCCAGCGAACCAGTAGCAAACCGGTTCAGATTTCACCACTGTACATAAGTACAGCTACTCTGAGCACTTCGCTCTGGAAAAGACACAGTATTTGTGACACAGGTGATTTATAGGAAACGGTTTGACTGTGGGGAAAAAAACCAGAAGGAGCACGGAAAGAAAAGGTAGAGGGGGAGCTTGTTAAGAAATGCAGTTAAACCCACATAACTTGGCTGAATTCTCTGCTTCTTTAATCGCTTTAGCAGCAGGGACCATCATAAATCGGAGCCAGAGAAGCATAGTCAGCTAATATTTTTGTAACGTGATCAAAGAGGTTTAAAAAAAAAAAAACATGACTTCAACTTAACGACGATTCGACCTGCTATTATTCTCTTTCCCTTTTTATAGAACTTGTATTCTCGCGTCTTAAGATGATGGCTCATTCATCTCCATTGCCCTCAGCTAACTGAGGGACTTCTGTAGCCTTTGTTGGCCCTTCAGGCTTCTGTCTCAGCTGTTGATCTGGTTGCTTTGAACCGGCAGCTCTCCTTCACATGTCTCGGCAGCCCACAACGCACCTGGCTGGCTGGGGAACGTTTGCTTGATGTCTCCAAGCAACAAATGGGATCCAGGGAGGCAAAACCAGTTTGGGGAGATGCTGCTTGCATCTTTTACACGAGGGGCAGGCTGAATAGGTCTTCCTCCTGAGGCCTATTAAAAGTATCTTTTGCAAGTAAATCCATGATTGCCTCAGCCGAAGAGACCTGTTCAGGTAGTTCGTAAGGGAACCCCTGGTGTGAATGTCGCAGCATCTCATGATGCTTAGAGGAGGAGCAAGAAGTCTAGAGAAGTTGGAAGTTAAGCAGCTAAGCTTTTCAACGATATTAGCAGTTTACCTGAGAAGGTCTTGGCTCTCAAGAATCATATCAGGTTATATTTCTTCTCCCCCTCCTCCTCTCTTATTATTTACAAGTAGTTGTAAATAGAACAGCAACAATGGTTTGTCGTCTTCTAGACCAAGGTCCCTTACTCTCAGTTTTACGATTCCCAGAGCCTTCTGAAAAATTCAATGGGCGTATTCTATACAAGCAAAGAGACGCGGTGGCTGGGATGCTGAGCTTGTCGATCGAAAGGTCGGCAGTTCAGCGGTTCGAATCCCTAGTGCCGCGTAGCGGGGTGAGCTCCCGTGACTTGTCCCAGCTTCTGTCAACCTAGCAGTTCGAAAGCACGTAAAAAATGCAAGTAGAAAAATAGGGACCCCCTTTGGTGGGAAGGTAACAGCGTTCTGTGTGCCTTTGGCATTGAGTCATGCCGGCCACATGACCATGGAGATGTTTTTGGACAGCGCTGGCTCTTCGGCTTTGAAACGGAGATGAGCACCGCCCCCTAGAGTCAGGAACGACTAGCACATATATGCAAGGGGAACCTTTATTCTATACAATAGCTATACCATCCAAAAATAGCCCTTGTGCACTTCCAAATTGGAGGCAACCTACACGTCCCTACCAAATTTTTTGGAAAATAAATGTAAAATATTGGTTCTTCTACCCACATATAGGATCTGGCCCCACTCATCTTGTATTGCTAGGATTTTTTTTATGCCATCAGAAATATTAAGTATTGCCTTTGATTGTCCATCCTTGCATTCCCTGTTTTTACTTGAAAGTATTTCTCGATCACTTATTTCTTTAAAAAAAAAAAAAAAAGGAATTGCGGTATTTTCTCATTCAGCAAGAAGGAATATTGGTCTGCTTTTATTTTTTTTAGCGGGATGGGATTTGAAGGATATTTATTTATTTATTTATTTATTGGTTCGATTTATATGCCGCCCTTTTCCGGAGACTCAGGGCGGCTTAAGCAATAGCCTTCATCCTTTTGTATATACCTGCTTAGTAGGGCTTTCGGCCCCCCCTAAGCGGTGTTCTTTTTTATACAAAGTCAGCTTATTGCCCCCCACAATCCGGGTCCTCATTTTACCTACCTCGAAAGGATGGAAGGCTGAGTCAACCTTGAGCCTGGTGAGATTTGAACTTGCAGTAATTGCAGGCAGCTGGTGTTAGTTAACAGTGCTTTAGTCTGCTGCACCACCAAGGCTCTCATATTGATGCAGATATGGGCAGGGTGGTCTATGGCTGTAATAATTAATAGAATTAAGCACGATAGAACGTCTATAGAAAATCCAGTTATCCAGGGGTGGTTTCTACTTACCTTTACTACCGGTTTGCAATGGGATCGCGCACTTTGCTTCTGCGCATGCGCAGATCGCTGATGACGACATCAGGGCGGTGGGCGGGGCCTCCTGCCAGTTTTACTACCGGTTCTTGCGAACCGGTCCGAACCGGGGCAACCCACCACTGCAGTTAACCTCCATTATGATAAACAGAACAGAATGGCAGAATTGGAAGATACCTTGGAGGTGAACTCCCTGCTCAAGCAGGAGACCCCCATACCGTTTCAGACAAGTGGCTGTCCAGCATCTTCTTAAAAGCCACCATTTATGGAGCATCGACAATTTTTGAAGGCAAACTGTTCCACTGGCTACTGGTTCTCACTGTTAGGAAATTTCTCCTTAGTTCTAAGTTGGTTCTCTCCTTGTTTAGTTTCCATTCATTGTTTCTTGTCTTGCCTTCTGGTGCTTTGGAAAATAGACTTGACCCCCTCTTTCTTTCTTTCTTTCTTTCTTTCTTTCTTTCTTTCTTTCTTTCTTTCTTTCTTTCTTTCTTTCTTTCTTTCTTTTCTTCTTCCTTCCTTCCTTCCTTCCTTCCTTCCTTCCTTCCTTCCTTCCTTCCTTCCTTCCTTCCTTCCTTTTCCTTTCTTTCTTTCTTTCTTTCTTTCTTTCTTTCTTTCTTTCTTTCTTTCTTTCTTTCTTTCTTTCTTTCTTTCTTTCTTTCTTTCTTTCATTTATATGCCGCCTTTCTCCGGAGACTCAGGGCGGCTTACAATGCATTTAAAAAAAAAAACAAAAAACACCATTATAAAAACATTTAAAAATTAAAACATTAAAACCCATTCACACCCTTCATGGCCGGATCTCACAAGATCGCAACAGCGAGATCAACGGCCCCAGGCCTGCCGGAAAAGCCAGGTCTTCACCGCTTTTCGGAAGGCCAATAGGGTGGGGACGGTCTGGACCTCAGGAGGTAGTTGGTTCCAGAGAGCTGGGGCAGCCACAGAGAAGGCCCTCCCCCGCGGACCCGCCAGCCGGCATTGTTTAGCTGACTGGACCCGTAGGAGACCAACTCTGTGGGATCTTACCAGTCGCTGGGAGCTATGCGGTAGAAGGCGGTCTCGAAGATAACCTGGCCCTGAGTTATATAGGGTGGGGGCGGTCCGGACCTCAGGAGGTAACTGGTTCCAGAGAGCTGGGGCAACCACAGAGAAGGCCCTCCGCCGCAGGCCCACCAGACAACATTGTTTAGCTGACAGGACCCGGAGGAGACCAACTCTGTGGGATCTTACCGCGCCGGGAGCTATGTGATAGAAGGCGGTCTCGAAGATAACCTGGCCCTCTTCTTTGTGGCAGCCTCACAAATACTGGCACAATGTTCTTTTCACTGGACTGGACACCCTGAAGCTTTTAAAATGTCTGTCTACTATTAATTTCTTGGAAATCAGGACCACTTTAATAGTTAGGCTGTCTAAAGTATTTTCCCATGAGAAAACGTTCAGGCACTCTTAACTCCTCCGCCCCCAGCCTTCTTATGTTTGATGATCAGTTCCAGTCTCCACTGGGGGAAAGACAAAAGGGTTAACACAATTGGAGATTGCGTAATCCTGAAATAAAGCGTTCAGGTTTAAATCCGCTGAGACAAATCCGCTTCATTTGTGCAAATTTCAGTGGCTGCGTTTTACTGCATTGGTTTTTATTCAAATCAATAGTTCAGTGAAATCCATAAATCAGTCGCTTACATCCTGAAGGCTCTGAGCAGATGTCAGAAGCAAAAGAGATTGCCCTGCCCTGTGAAACTATAATCTAACAAAAATATTCAACTCAACATTTTTCTCCACCCTTCGTCAATGTAATCCTGAGCCCTGAAGGACACATCAAACTGGTTCAACTTAATGCTTTTGTAGGTTGTTCAATCTAGATTTGGCAAGTCTGTAGCTCTCAAGAATGTTCATTCTACAATGCTTTTCTCTCTCTCTTTCTCTCTTTTTTTTTTGCCAGAATGTGGCCATAAATGGAAACATGAAGATCATTTAGGGCAAGGGTCTCCAACCTTGGCAACTTGAAGACTTGTGGGCAAAGGTCTCCAACCTTGGCAACTTGAAGACTTGTGGGCTTCAACTCTCCAGAGTTGAAGCCCACAAGTCTTCAAGTTGCCAAGGTTGGAGACCTCTGATTTAGGGAACAATATTTAAATGAGAATGCAAGTTGATGTGGTGTTATGGCTGCAGGACTGAGCTTTGAAGCTCCATTTTGAATCTTAAGGTGGCTGTGAACTTACTTTGGTGGCCTTAGACCAGGGTGGATTTGATTTAAATCGAGTTGATTTAAATCACAATTTAAATCATGATTTAAATCACTAGTAAAAAGGCTTGATTTAAATCAACTCGATTTAAATCATAATTTTTAAAGAGCAGCTGTCATCTCTGCTACTCCTTTGACCCACTGTTGACTCACCGATAGTCCCAGTGTTGCAGAATAAACAGTCTCTGCTACATAACTAAGCTCCATTTCATGCTGAATAAACTAAATGATTTATGTATCTT